CCTTACGCTTTTTGAGTTGAAGAACGCGTATTTTATAATGTTCTTAAATCGTATTAATTATTTAAATTTTGAAAAAGAAAAATTAAAACAAGAAAAAGGTCTATATTTGTGTAACTTATATCTATCTTTAATTAAATTAATTAGTTGTTCACCTTTGTCATTGGTTCAAGGTAAGTTATGTAATAGTCACTTTTCCTACATTATATACAGTATTTAATGTTATAAGTTTTGAAACTTCATTTCCTTAAGAACTTATGATATATATCTATGTTTGCTCCCCAGAGACTCAACAGTAATTCTGAAGGCTTATAACGTAAAAAAACTTATTTCGATACATGCGGTGGGCATTGCACAGATAGCCCATTTTGTAGTTTTTTGCTTATCTACAAATATTTATTTATTTATTTTTAATACTTTAAATGTTATAAATTGTAGTGACATCTACATATCTGTTTTTGAAAAGAAATTTGGAATTGCCGAAAGTAATTACCAGAAGTTTTCAATGATTACAAGAATGTTTCAATAAATGCAAGACTCGTCAACAATTACCAGAAAATTTCATTATCATGATTATCAGAATATCTCTGAGAAAGACCATTTAGTTTCCTATATTAGATAATTTATTTGTACTTTTAAACTGTCCCCTGTTGGACAGCGGTAAGTTTACGGACTTACAGCCCTAAAATCTGGGATTCGATTCACCGCGGTGGACACAGCAGATAACGCAATATGGCTTTACTCTAAAACAAACAAACCCTGAAACTATCCCTCTGATTGTTCAACGGTGAATCTGAGGGCTTGTAACACTGCAGAGCATAGATAGTCCATTATGTAGCTTTATGCTGAGTAACAGACAAACACAAAATTATAAATTAAAAATACAACAAATATAATTATCTACGAGCTTAGAGTACTATAGTACAATAAGTCACGAAAAAATACACCAATACGAGAGTCCGTTTTAAGTCTTATCAGTATGTGTACTTTTTTTTTTTAAGTAATATCTTG